CTTGTCCATAAACCCTGGTCCAATTTTTATATTTGGTCATCGAATCACAACCTGTAGTTATTTTAACACATGACTGCCTCAGCAGTAAACACAGTCTTGCATATATGGCCTAATTGATCTAGTCATTTCTGTTTTTAAAAGGTCTTCAAACAAATCTGCTGAAACACTCTACATGTTGGACACGGTACAAGCAACGAAAAGTTCTTGGTGTGTTGCTGAAGCCAACATTTGAATAAGTTTGCTTTTCAAAATCTTGGCTCCAGCGCCAGCTCATGTTCCAAGGATCCTCCCATGAACTTCTACCTTATTTAAATTCAGAAGTAACGGTCATGAGACAGTCTTAAGCTGAATTTTCCGAATGTGTTAGTGTGTGTCAGTAGACGCGGCACATCACTCACGAGAGATGCATTTTTAGACTTGTTCATTCGCAAGTGCACAAAATTAAGCAATTCTGTTTATTAGTGTATTAAGCGGAGAAAATTTAAATTCGTTTGTGAGGTGATGTTTCCAAATTAATCTTTTTAGTGATTAGGCTTAATTTTGATCACGATATAGCTCCGGAACTATTACACCTGTCCTGATGAAACCTGAGCGGCGACAGGTCTACTACTAGGGCTTTGCCCTGTATGAGTTAGAAGTTTCCCGGTAGGTTATTACCAAAGTTAAAAGCGATCGTAAGAAAAAAAAAAAAAACGTGGTCCGAGGCTTTGATTTGACGGGCGTACCTTTTGCTCGAGCAGTGAGCCACCCTCCTCCTCTGAGCGAGGGCGAGGGAAGACGCGGGCGCCTCACGTTTATTAGTGTTTTTCTTTAACTTCTTTCTAACTGCATACCTTTCAATTGGCTAAAGCTATCGAAATACTTTTTTCACAAGAAGAAGCGGATTGTTATGTTCTAAAGGTAGGTTTCAGCGGTGTATCGGTCAAGTTTGTGGTTATTTTTATAAAAATGTTTTAATGAAATGAGATTTCTGCTGATTACCCCCTTAATTAAGGGACTAGAGAGTACTGATTTGGGCTTCCGGTCAGCCTATGGGGTGCTGTTTATTAATATATTAAGCGGACAAAATTTAAATTCGTTTGTGAGGTGATGTTACCAAATTAATCTTTTTAGTGATTAGGCTTAATTTTGGTCACGAAATAGTTCTGGTACTATTACTCCTGTCCTGATGAAACTTGAGCGGCGACAGGTCTACAACTAGGACTTTGTATGTATGAGTTAGAAGTTTCCCGGTAGGTTATTACCAAAGTTAAAAGCAATTGTAAGGAAAAAAAAAAAAACACGTGGTCCAAGACTTCGATCTGACGAGCGTACCTTTCTCCCGAGCAGTAAAATATGACGTAACTTTTTTTACTTTGTAACTTTGAAAATGTAACTTTTTTTACTTTGTGAAGTATTGAGAAAATATGACGTACTTACTGTGCTTTACGAAGGCAAAGTACAATAAATACTTTTTCATTTGTGAATCGGTTAACTTTGATGAGCGCTCACTAAAGGGAGTTTAACTCTAGCCCAATTCCTTAAGTTGGACTTGAGGATCGAACAGTACACTCTTATAAACACCCCGACCTGAAACATGGCACACGCTGATCAAAGACGTTCGCTTTTTTGTTTCTTTTTTAACAATTTCGCTGGGCCGCTAGAGTGTCTGGCATCTCACTTTCGGCATGTCCTATCCTCCACCACTCAAGTAAGGTCAGTTATTTCTCTCTTTTGGTTCATTGCCTAAGGTCGGCTCTTGACGAGCGGATAGGCTCCGGGCTGCAGCCTATCCGCTCTGGCTGCGCTCTAATTAAGAGAACAAATAATTACGAATTTCAGGCACGAGGCTCGGACAACTCAGCAGAGGTAAAAGTGTTTAACCAACTTCACAACAATCCAGAATATTAGTTCGAGCATGCGACGAGGTGAGGCTTTCATGTAACCCATATACATTCGCCATAAACCCTGTCCACTTCGCAGCTCCGCGCCTTCGCAACGTGAGCACGGACCCGCAGAAGAAACAACACGCTGCTCCCGATCTACCTCTTCCAATTATAATGCATATTATATACATGCGCAAGTAAACAGAACGTGACCAGCCAAATACACTAGCTGTCTACGAGACCAGCTAAGCTAATGCTAGAGTACAACTGTACAGGACAAACTAGGAAATGTCTGCACGAAGAGCCAGCCAGACGAAGAAAACATGGCAGCGTCGGCACAAACAAGAAAGCGCCGGAGGCTAACTCGTGCCCCAAACGGAAAACAGGTGACTCCCCTTCTATGGCCAGCGATGGCCTTGAGCTCGCGTCTGCTGAACGCACTCTACGTCCAATGAGGATGCACGGGTCGGTATATAACATGTGACGCGCCAGAGGTGAACTTGCATTCCGATTGCATCGAGGGTTCGAAGGCGTCTTCTTCGATGGATAACTCGCTTGTCTCGCTGCGTGAGCATAGATCCTTGGGCTCCAGTGCCGTTTTTGCCAGTTCCTTCTCGACAACAGGCCAATAATTAAAAAAAAAATCGCCAGTGAAATGGGGAATAAACGGGTCAGCCACTTTTGTGCGAATGCTTCCAGCCACTGAAAACTAGATTCGGCTCACCGATGTAAAATATCGAGATAAATCTGACTAGGTCTGTATATCGCTAAATCAAACTGCTGTGCCAAAGAGGAAAGCTGCCACTCGAGCCAAGTGAGTACCGGCAAAAAAAGAGTTAAGAAAGTATCATCAATATTGCCGTCTTCACTGCGCGTTTGCTATATGAATCAAGACTTATTCAGACTAATCTTAAACGCGCGCGCGCGCGCGCGCAGCGCGCACACACACACACACACACACACACACCACACACACACACACACCACACACACACACACACACACACCACACACACACACACACACACACACACACACACACCACACACACACACACACACACACACACACCACACACACACACACACCACACACACACACACACACACAGCACACACACACACACACACACACACACACACACACACACACACACACACACACACACACACACACACACACACACACACACACACACACACACACACACACACACACACTACAGTACACTCTTAAAAAAGTTAGTAAAAAGGTAGCAACTACAAGCAAGTAGGTAGTAACTGTAGTGGTTGCTACCTTTCTTAGGCCGTTGCTACCCTTTTGCTACCTGTTTACTACCTACATTAGTAAACAGTTACTACCTACAACCATTACTAACTTTTTGCGACCTCTTTACTATCTACGTTAGTAAACAGCTAGTAACTGAAACGAAAGAGGCAGTAACTGCAGCCGTTACAACCTTTCATGCCCCGTTACTACCTCTTCGCTACCCGGATTTTGACTATATAATCCAAAATAGTGTGTGAATGCTATTCTGATAACTTATGAGAGGAATTGTCTCGACATATTATCATTAAACTGAAAAATGATGCAGAAGGTATTTATAGATCAAGAAAATATATTTTGTTTCAAATTATGCAACCGAGATATGTAAACGTCATTCTGATATTGTCAAAACGGAGAAGTACAAGTTAACGAACCATAAGCAAGTGCTACACGCGTCGTAATAGACTATTACAACAAACTTAGTAAATACAGCACATATTAACAAGACTGGGAGATATCATTAACGCATATCATAGCATTCACGCATATCATAATCTAAAATATAAGTCTACTCACATTGACGGCACAACCAAACGGGGAGGAAAGAAACAGACGACATAAGCACGGCAGGAAGAACGCTCGCTTTGTCGTCTGTCTGCCAAGTTTAGCAGCTGTTAGTTACTTCTTACGCTTCGTAAAATCGTTCATCAATGCAGAAGGTTTTAGTGTTATATAAAACACGTTTCTGTGCAATGGCGAAAATAAATAACCTATTATGGGCTCTTTGAGTAAGAACATCATTTTAACGTGAAGCAAGACGCGTCTTGCTTCACGAGGTATTGAAATCCGAGTCAAGGTTGAAGCTCACATATCCTGTCATTCCCTTGCATCCAGCAGCTCACTAGCGCCAGATTTCCCTCTAGGTATCATTGTGAGAAACTCTATGGCCAGATTTCTCTCTAGGTATTACTATATGAAACTTAATGTTCGCACTTAGTATGCCACGAGGTAGCATACCTTGAAGTCAACGCTAGTTAGGCCTGACAGCCATTGTGTGCGAATAGGGAAGGAAATACAAAGTTTGCAACGATGCCATCGAGATACTTTGCATTCATCTCATTTTCGGTGCCCTGGGCAAACGACCCCTTTGAAAAACACTACACCTGCAGTTTAAAACGTACAAATTGCACATCAAACAAGCCAGTGCACTCGCAAGCACTGTACAACTAAGCAGATCAATGTGATGCAACAATATCACTTTCCTGTCGTCTGCATGTGAAGATGGATTGGAACTTGGTAGAATGTGGCTGTAACGTGAGCAATATTTATAAGCAAAGATGCACTTTCTATGCATTGGCACGGCGCTGCGTTCGATATATCGGATGCTTCGATGGGCGGGAATGGAATGTATGTGTGCACCAGCCCCATACTCTTGTATTCAAGTAATTTCTGAATTTCGACATAGCCAGTTGTTCTATATGTTCAGGGTCGGCTGTGTATGGCTAGGTTTTGGTGAATTGTGTTTGTGGACCAAACAACTCACAAAAAGTCACTTTTTGGCATCCGTGGACACTGCCGATGTGCCTTTTGACGAGTGTCTGGGATAGTTCCCGGCGATTGTTGTGCCCTTGGGTCTTGTGATCACGCTAGCTCCATTATCAGCAGTTGCTCTTTGGACTAGCTATGTGACGAATGTGTGCGAATCGAAGAAGCGCCAGTGCCTGCAGTAGGGCACACCAACAGGACGTGAAGCTGCCGCTGCTACAAGTGCTTGCCTCCGCTGTAGTGGAAGGCGTCTGTGGCTAGAGTGGTTGCAAGAAAAGGACACTTGTGCTGTGGCTGACACAGCTGTGTGTGAATTCTGTGCAGAGGCACTCATTCCTAGAAAGTGTGCGCACTGTTGGCGACTGGGAGGTGCACAGCTGTCAGGGTTGCCACCAAGATGTGTACGCGCAAGCCTCTGACCGGAGCCTGCTGCTCAGTGCCAACCTTGAGGTGAGCTAGCCTCTCACTGGCTTTGGCGTAGTGTTGCTTGTGCCATCTGAAAAAGAAAGCAAACTCCAAATGAGATGAGTGGGAAAATGCCTTTCTTGTGACATCCTGCTGATGATGGCATGCAGTGGCATTTTGCCTCATTGTGCAGAGTGACATCAAGCGCATTGAAGCAATGCGGGCCTCGGCCGACTACTCTCCTTGCTTCCACGTGTTGCTGCCACCAGTGGCTGACAACGAGGGAGGGGCTGCGAATGTGGCACCAGGTGGGTGTTGTAAACCTCAACATGATGTATGTAATATCAGCTACGTGCAAAGTTCAGTACATTTAAATATGATCTTTCTTTGATGCGAAGTCATCAAAGGATCATTTTTCAGCACATTAAAGGGGCTGTAAAGATGTCCTAAGAGCAGAGCTGCTCTGGTCAAGAAATAACCAATTCTGTTATTAATGGAAAGAAACATATATATATATATATACATATTCTGTCAACCTGAGACTTGGAAATCATAGCTCAGTGTCACTGTATGATATGCGCAAAACCAAGATGAATGCACGTACAGTCCCATCTTAGTCGAAGGAATGTATTGCATCTTTGCTGCCACTATTGAAACTTGGGGTGCCATGTAAAGCCCTGTGGTACTGTTGTCATGTTCACCAATGTGGTACATGAGAAAAACAAAGGGGCATCACTCTCAAAGTAGATGTAATAGAATCATGGTGTCTACTAACCTGGAAAGCCTGGAAAAGTGAGGGAATTTGGACCCTTCTGGAAAAGTAATGGAAAAGTCATGGAATTGCTGAAAAATCTGGCCTGGTCTTGGAAACTGACTGTAGCCTTTGCAACCATAACAAAAATAAGCATTACCATAGAGCAAAGCTTAAAAAGCCACTCCTTATACTGCAACTACAGTGAACAGGTAAAAGTGGTGTGGGTAAAAAAAAAGCAGTGTGCAACTATTTCTTTTTAGTGAAGACGCAAAAGGATACACCTACCAAAAGAATACAAAGTTTACTGACATTACAGCACCCGCTATGGGGGCCTTGTTCACAAAAATAGCCATGAGAAAAGCACAGCGTCTCACTACAGTTTTTTTTTGCTTTGAACCCCCGCCTGTGCATTTGTTCGTCTTGTAACTTTTTTTTTTTGAGAACAATAAACTGAAAATGAAAAAAAAATGAAATGAAGTATGTGATGTAAGCACTGGAAGTACATTGTTGGATGTGTCCCATCACTCCTTTTCAGCATATGTGCTGAACAGGAGTGATGTGTCTTCATATGCTGGTATTCCAGGTGCAGACATGATGTAAGCTTTCCTTTGGCCAAAACACGGACACTTGACCAGTCAGTTTGTTGGCCTGTAGAATCTGCATGTTCAGCGAGGGCATATGAAGTCACGTAGTTTTCTGATGTCATATTCATGTTTCGTTTAACAGCGAGGAACAAACTTTTTTTTAGATGGTCAATTCTGAGTGATAATGAATGGGGGGGGGGGGGGGTGACTGTTTCCTTGAAATCAGTGGTCTCACTTACGTACTGGTTGTCACAATAGTGGCAGCCTTATGTAAAAAAAGCAGTCGAAATTTTCGCTTGGCAACTTGTCCTTCACATTGTCTAAAGCATTTCTTAGCTTCCGTATTCGTACACACTATGTTGATGTCTGTTGCTTCTACATATCATGCAGCATATCTGACTTTCCAACCACAACATAATTATTGTCATTAAATTTGTGCATCTTTGTCTTGACCATGATTTGGCTCGACTTGAAGGCCTTCTGGTTTGGCTAGGACTGCCATTAGCAGAGGCTTGCCGGGCTATGTCATGCCTTTAATTATTATTGTTATTACTATCATCATTATTATTGGCAATGCAACGACAAATGTCCTCAGCTACACACTTATTGCTGGTAGCTCTCGTTTCAATGGTAGAGTTGAGTAACTTCTTCTAAATTTCTCATTTCAGATTCTTGAGATGGTAATATTAAATATGGGATTACTTTTTAGCCTTATATTCATAGAAGAGTACACAAACGAAGGTAACCCGCCGGCATATGTGATAAATCTATGGAATCGAGGGAGCTGCTGCGCCCTGACAGATTCATTCTTGCCAGCACATGTTCAAACGTCATCACTTTGAAGGCTACCCCAAGCTTTCATTGCAGGCACCTGAGGATTTTGTCAAACTCTAAGTGTCAGAGCCCACAGAAATAAAACATCAACATGCATGTACTCGACATGGAAAATAAAAGAATGGGAGAAAGAAAATTATGCAGTGAGGCTCCGTTCTTGCGACATTGTTAGTCATTGTTCAATGCAAGGTTCACAGAATACGTGAGTAGTAGTGTTTTTTTCACCTGAAAAGTATATAGTAGCGGTGTGAAATTTCGGGGGGGGGATGCAAATCAATAGTAAGTACATCAATCCATGTCACATCAGATCCAATCTAATCCACATCCTAAATAGTCAAGTCAGTAAATACAGGTCAATCTAATTGAATTTACATCCTAAATGGCCTGGACTGTAATCATTATAGTGACCTAGAACATATTCCAATGGCGGAACCGACCAGGATCTGACGTCCTCCTTTTAGACAGATGCCATGAGATGGTGCCACTTCTACATTTTCTAGCAGCTTTGGCTGCATTGTAGGACTGTCGTGGGTTCTTTTAAACTTTTAACTGCAGTTAATTTTAGCTCATGTGTTTACTTTCTGGTTTCTCCAGATATTAAACAGCTAACTTGCTTACTCTCTCACTTGGAGGTTTTATTTTGGCCAGATACTATACATATTTTTTCATATTTACCGTACGTGCTCAGAACATTCTGAGCACTTGTGGTACAGAGCACCTGATTTTTTTTTCGATCTCTCAAAGATCTGTTTCCAGTGCACAGAGGTTTCCAAGCAGACATAAGGTTCATGGAATTTGCTTCAAATCATCATGGAAAACCTGGAGAAGTCAGGGAGTTTAAAAAAAAACAAGTTGGTAGACACCCTGTAGAAGGTACCTCTCTGTGTTGTGGCCAAATATTTTATTTAGCCAGATTGTGTGTGTTCTGTCTCTGAAGAATTGAGAAAAATTTGGCATGAGGTATTCAATTTCGGTCATTCCTATGCACAGGTTCAACAGAGTTCTTGTAACTTGGCTTGATCACAGGCTTTTGCAAATTTTTATAGAGCTTGCAGCAGTTAAATAAAAATAAATTTTCCCCCTCCCACTCATCCTACGAAAGAGCAGGTGAACTAATGGCCTCAGCTGACTCACTTTCTTGGGCATTCTGAGTAGTTATGGGCACGGCACAGGCAGACCCAATGTGAGCAATTTATTTATTTTTTTTTGGGGGGGGGGAGGGGGGGGCTAATTTGGGGTCCACTTTTGAAGCTTTTCATTATTTGACGAAAGTGTTCAGTTTGAAGAATCAACAATATGGGGGCTGCAGAGATTCCTAGGTCTCCCCAATACCCCCCTTTGATTAGAGGAATTATCGGGGGTATATCAGTCATGCAAGTGGCCCTGTCACCTAAAAGGCGCTCGATTGGCCGACTAAACGATGGTACTCACATTGGAGCCCAAGTGTCAGCGTTGTTAAAATGAAGCTTTTCTAAAATGAACTGCACATCACAGTGTGATGTGCATGTCATAAGCAGCTTTCACCACATTCCTCAGAGTTGAACAATAGTTCATAATTTGTATGGCATAGCGCATCACAACAGGGACAGAGAAGGGCACACACTTGTGGTGCTGTGTTTTTGTCCCTCTTCTCTGTCCCAATCATGGTGTGTTGCGCCATATGAATAACGAAATCCAGCCAACTAGCTCAGTGTAGTGTGTTGTATGTAGTGTGTATTACATTGTCATAAAAGCTGATAGCAAACACTGCAACCACAGTTGACGCTGTTGGGATATCGCACCACTGTAGTGTCTTCTGAGCTGTTTCAAGCATTCGTGTAGCCACGTGGTAGAATATGTGTCTGCCATGCAGATTTTGCCGCCGGCGTCATTGTCAGCATCGATGTTGGTGACCGCCATCATTCACCGTATATGTATACGTATCTATATATACGTGAAAACCCAAGAAAGAAGAATAATCTAGAAAAAGGCTCCGGCATGTGAAATCGAATGTCCAACTTTTAACTAAGTGCTTGATTGGGCTGGCTGGTGCTGCATGGTAGACAAAGAATGAAAACAGCCCAAACGATAGGAGGGGATAGAAGAGACAAGACAGAGCGCTGAACTAACGACCAAATTTTATTGCAAACCAACTGCAATATATAGAAAACAGGATCTGCGCATAACCATGCAACATAAGCGGAATTGCACATACATGCACCATACGGCGTACATTATCCAGAACCGGTCAAATCAGTGGACCCCAGATAAATGAATCTCAGAGCCGTGAAGAAAAATAGAAAGTGCACCAACAAAGGAAGCACCAAGTTGTTAAATGTGGAAGGCTTCGCTAATCTCGCGCTCGTGCTGAATTTATACCACCCCTTGACCACACACACTTGTCGAGAATTGGCTGACAACCACACTTATTGGAATGATCCCCCAGGTGGCTGGGTACGGAGCCTTTAAGAGAGTATGGGTGCTCCCTCAACCGATCATTTATGCATCAGCCTGTTTGGCCAATGCAATGTAATAGAGCCTGCATGTGAACAATATCTTGTATGCCATTGCTAAAACACATTCAACATAGCGCGTGGCGTGTTTCTTAGTGCATGCTTCTTTCTTAGGTCCTTCGCTGTTGACCCTGCGACATAGCCCAGCAAGATTGTCGCGTGCGCAGAACGCAACTTTTACACCTATTTTGCCAGCGACCTTCTTTAGCCTATGGGAAACCTTGTGTACGTATGGAATAACAGCCATGCTAGAATGAGGCTTGTTGAGTTGGCTGTTGCATTGTCCCTTATCAGGCACTTTTAGAGACATTAGGAGAGTCTCGGCAATGGAAGCTAACAGGAGATTAGGAAAGCCTGCTTGTTGAAGGCGGTGAACTTGGTGCGAAGAACTGCATTCTTTTTTCTAGTGGTGACAAGAGTGAGTTAAGGCTACCTTTAGGCAGGAAAGAGGGATGCTTCTCTTGACTAGCTTGAAATGACTGGACGTGAAAGGAAGAAGGCTTTTCTTTGAGCTACTCTCAGAGTGCCACAAACAAACCGTCGATAACAAGATTAACGACAAAATATGGCTGCCGTCTCGCTTCTATGTGAAAAGTTCCTCTAGACGCAGATAACAAGTAAAGCGAGAATCTGGGGTGCTACCA